ATTTCATTGCTATTTTTTTTCTGTTTAAATTTATTAGATCTAAAATTCAAAAGCAGACATGTAAATAGTAAAGTACCAATTTGTACTCATACATTGTTCCTAATTGCTGATTATTTAATCTTTTTTCCCTCCTCCCCTGAAAATAGCCTTTTCCATAACTCGCTTCTTTCAATACCACCCAAGGAACTGGCTGTGAGCTCAGAATTCTCCCTATTTAGCCCTAAACTTAGTCATGTGAAAATGTGGGCTCTGTCAAACCCACAGAGTTTCTATTCCAAGTACAATGGCACTGAGCTGAATCTTTGTGTCACAACACACAGATCCTCCTGTCTCCTTCTATTCTGGTTTCAGAAACTAAATCAACACAGCCACCAAATGTCTAGCCACGAAACCATCGCCAGTACCTAGTGAAGAATCCAGAGCTCTCAGCCAGTCTAGGCAGAAGTGTGAATTGACATCAATGCTTTGGAAACTTTGGCTGCTATCTATTGAAGTTGAATGTAGAACTACCCACAACCCAATCACTCCAGTCTTCTATTACTGTGTCCAGAAAAAGACATGCACAAGGGTGTCCATAGCAACACGATTCCAAACTGGATCCAACTCAAACGCCTGCCAAGAGCAGAATGAAGAAGCAAGTTGTGTATTCACACAATGGAACACTACACAAAATAGTGAATGAAGAAGAGTTTTAAAAGCACTGCTGTATGAATCCAGTTATGTGACATTTAAAAGCAGCACAGAGTGGGGCTAGGGGTGTAGCTCAGGGGTACAGCACCTTTTTCTGGTGTGTGAGCTCCTGGGTTTGAACCCTGCACCAAAAATCAACCCAACAAAACACAAAAAAATAATCAAGCTGAGGATTTAGCTCAGTGGTTCTGCTGCCTGCCTTGCAAGCACAAGGTCTGGAGTTCAGAGTTCGATCCCTGGTACCAAAAAAAAAAAATCAAAAAGCAAGAAAACAAAACACAAGCCAGGTGGAACTAATGAAGGGCCACAGAGTTCACATGGTGTCTCCTCTCAGGGTGACAGTGAGCAGAAGGGTGCCCTGGGGATGTCAAGAATGCTCTGCTTTGGGTGTGGCTGAGTGGTCTGTTTGTGAAAATTCTCCTAGCTCTACACTTCTTGGTGGACTGCTGTTGTGTCATGCTTGATGTGAGTGGAAAGATGTTTTACAAGCAGTGCCTGTCCCAGGTGGGTTTCCTTCCAAAGACCACACAGAGCCCACATGGTCACCACTGTCCCTCTGTCATATCTGAGGGGAATCCTGGGAGGCCCACACCTTCTCTTCTGACCTTATGTCCTGACCCTAGCCCAGGGACAACACAGAAGACTGTCCAAGGGACATGTCTATTATCACTGCTGTCCCACGGCTGCCAGGAAGAGCAGCCTTCCTAGAAGAGGCCACGCCAGTGGTTGGCTGCTACATTATAACAGTGTGGGGTGAGGTGGTGGAGAATGTTTGTATCCTGTGTGTCTGCAGACCTCTGGATAGGGGACCAGTCAGGTGGCAGGAGGAGCCACATAGGTCAAGTGACGTGGGAGGAGCTGACAAGGCACAATAGCCTTAATGATCTGGTTTAGCCAGGGCCTTCAGGGAACCTGTAAGCCTAGACTGACTCCAGGAAATGCTCCTGCTGTTGTTTTGTGGATCCCTCTACTCCACCTGGGGACAAAAGAATCTTCGGCAATTTTGTCACCTATGGTGTGAAGTGGAGCACTGGCCTGCCTCAGCCTCCAGCCCAGAGATCTCTGCCTCATGTGAATGTACAGACCACTCTGTGTGCCTGTCCTCTGGCCTCTGGAGGGTGGGCTGGGAAGAAAGGAAACAAGAAACACTGATGAGAGCACAGACATCAGAGTAAGAGACCCCGGGTCAGTCTCCTGGCTCACTGGCTTCTGTTTGGTAAAGTGTCTGCAAAGGGTGGAGGTGGCTTCAACCTGCTGCCACCCTCCTGCCAAAGGACCAGACCAGCCATGACGCTGAGCCGATGAGGACATGCAGCTGGACAGAGGAGGGGGGGACGCGGGCCCTGTTCTTCCTCAGGAAGCAAAAGCCTAGGGCTATTGGACATTTTCAATCTTTTCTTTCTTTTCTCTTTTTGGAGGGCAGGTTTGAAACAGGGCTTCACTACATAATTCAGGCTGGCCTTGAACTCACTATATAGCCCAGGCTGGTTTGAAGCTTTTGGCAATCCTCCTGCTTCAGCCTTTTGAATGTTGGGATTACTGGTGTGAGCCACTGTGTCTGGCGTAACTTTTCCTTTCTTATGCACCACCACAGGAGACACCTTGATTCCTCAAGATGCCTGGGATGTTTTAATGCTGTACAGTCTCCAATGGCCTGGGCACCTTACATCTCCCATTCAACACACAGCTTTCGCATAGTTGCCACACCAGAGCCATTCTAGGCACTGAAGTCATGGCAGCGAATGACACACCAAGCCCCTCTCTCTTGGAGCTTCCCTTCCAGTGGAAAAGGCAGAAGACACCTAATTAAGTAAGTAGTGGCTCCTCTGTACTCCAGGGATGGTGCCCAGGAGTCCTGCTTTCACTGACACCAAAACCTGCAGGTCTCTCATCCCTTGTATAAAATGGCACAGTATTTACATAGAACCTACACACATCCTCCCGTGTGCTTTGAATCACCTCTGTATCACTTATAATACCTAGGACAGCTGGCCATGGTGGTGCATGTCTGTAATCTCAGTATTTAGGAGGCTGAGACAGGAGGATCACTGCAAGTTCAAGGCCAGCCTGGGCTACAAAGTAAGTTCAAGGCCAGCTTTGAACTGGTGAGACCCTGTCTCAAACAAACAAACAAACAAACAGTGAGCTGCTGAGCTTTAGAGATGAAGGGAAGGAGCTTAGGAGAGAAGGGCTTGAGCACAAGGCCCATCCCCTAGAGGCATGGTTAGCAGGCCAAAGAATTGAGGAGAGGCAGCACCTGTGAAGGGATCCCCAGCTCCACCATGGTCTCTACACTCTGAGTGGACAGTTGGACACGAACCTCCGGATTCAAAAAGAGGCTGAGCCCAGGGATGTAAGCTGGGAATCACCAACACGTAGGTGGTATGGAAGCCACACACCGGGATAGGGTGACCTAGGAGATTACGTGGAGGAAACTCCATTTAAAACAGCACACACCATCTCTGTCATGTGCTGGGTGCTGTGTTAAGCAACTTCCTTGGACTCTCTGACAACCATGTGGGGCTGCTTTGATCATTTCCCCACTTACTGATGTGGACATTGTGATGCGGAGATTTTTAAACGTGTCATGCCATGCCAGTGGGAGACAGAAGAGCAGAGGTGTGAGGAGAAAAAGGTTCTAGGTGGCAGCTCTGGGGACCGCAGGACTAAGAGATCAGAAGACAGGGGAGCAGCCAGAGACATGTCAGGCAAGAGTTCCAAGAAAGGAGGCTAAGACCTGTCGGATGCTGCCGCCAGGAGAGGCAGAGCCCAACACTCGCCAAACGCCATATACTGTGTCAAAGAATGACAATTCAAGCAGGCCATGGTGGTGCACACCTGTAATCCCACACTGGGGAGGCTGAGGCAGGAGGATTGCTGTGAGTTTGAGTCCAATCTGGGCTACATAGTGAACTCAAGGCCAGCTTGAACTATATAGCAAGACCCTGTCTCAAAAACAAAATGAAATAAAGCAAGACAATTCATCTTGGTTTTTCTTTCCCATTAAATACTTTTTAAAAAGCCAACTAAAATGCCTCTACAAATTAATAAATCCAGTGTTAACAAACATAGCATCCTCGAACAAGTAACATTAATCTGAAAAAAATATACAAAGTCTTTGTGGCATACTTAAAATCACTCTTAAATTTGGAAAGGAAAAGGTGAAAAGAGATATGGGGTGTGGCTAAATGACAGAGTCCATCTATCCATCCATCCATCCATTCATCCATCTAACATTCATCTATCCATCCATCCATCCATTTAGTCATCCATCATCCATCCATCCATCCGTCCATCCAATCATCACTGATGAGATGTTAAAGATTAAACAATCACCCAGCTGTCCCACTTAGTACCTGCTGAAGCCTGAGAACAAGGTCTGGATGGTCCCTCACATGTTATATCTCTCTTTTTGCAACACTAACAGCACCCAGGACTCACACAGGGGGAGGCATTCTTGTCGCTCTGGGTATCTGTCACCTGCAGAGCTTAGTTCCATCTCACTGAAAGAAATCAGTGGTACTAAAGCTGCCCTCACACTGTGTCATCAGCCCAGACTCCCAGTTTAATTTTAGCTCAACAATGCAAAGGGTAAAGAGGAACCCCTGGCTGAAGTTCCATGGTGTTTGGACTACTCTGAATGTGGGATGGCAAGTCTCCAGCTGAAAAATCAGTGTGTATTTGTCAGGTTTATGGGCAGAAAACTTTTAATTCATTGAAGCCCTTCACACTGAGGTTGAGGGGAATCTCAGAACACCCAGGTGCTGCAAAGGGGATGGAGAACAACTGGTCTACCTATCGCTTTGCAGTGAAGGCAAAGAATGGACAAAGGCAGAGGGAACTTCACAGCCAAGGGGGAATGCAGTTCCTCTAGGGACAAGTGCATCAAAGCACCACTGGCATCAAAGCAGCACCTTGCAGTGGCCAAGTCCCTCCCTGGGACCTGCTCTCTCCTCCCTTTCCTCCTCAGTCAGGGAACAAGTTGAGCTGGTTTAAAACTTGCCTGGACAGCCAAAATCACCCTGTCTGCCTGTCACATGACCTGTTAACCAAACCACACCATAAATCACAGCTTCTACTGCCCCAGGCAGCCCTGGCCCCAATTTCTGGGGAAAGAAGGTGGGGGGCACTAAGTGGATCTGGCTTCACAGGTGCCAAGTGTCTAGGGCTTTCTGTCATCAAGAATCACAGCATGCAAGAGCTGGGAGAGGTTGTCTCCAGTTTCCACCCTCCCTGGCCTCTGCACTCATCTTCAGCTGCAGAGGAGTGCCTGCCACCTACTCAGGGCAATGCCTGGGTATTGCGCTTACCAGCACAGCATGTTCCCGACCCTGGTTAACCATCTGCAAGCACATCCAGTTTCTCATACATGGAGAGGTTTTCAGGCTAAGGCCATGCTGGGGTTTATTCTGACCTGAGAATGCAAAATGAGTCCATCCTCTTTAGCTGCTCCCGGCAAAACTCCTGGAGCCTGACACGGCTACCCTGAGCTCTAGCTTGCACAGGAATGATCCCGCCGCATTACTGCTGCCATCACTGCCAGTAGGTGCACGTGCCACAGACAAACTTAGGTTTCCAGGTGGTTATTCAGGAGGAATGGAGAAGAAGGTACAAGGTTCAAGTGCCTTCAAAGTGATTCAAAGAAGTGAGCAGACAGGAGCTCCCAGGCCACTCCCATCTCTTACAGAGAGTTCATCTGGAGGCGCCACCACACTGCTAGTCCCAGACTCCGAGGAGGAGTGGCCGAGGGTCAGCCCTGGTGGCTACAGGCTGTCTCCAAGTCCCTCTCTCGCCTAGACAAGGCTTTGGTCACCTGTGGGTTTTGGGAGTTCCCAGGCCGTTCTCCAGGCTGGTATCGGTGTGAACCATCTCCTGTTTCAGTTCTCCGATCTCCGAGGCAATGGTGTCAATAAGCTGTTCAGAGACAAAAATAGTGACATCAGGGAGCACAGAGGCGGGGTGAGTCGCGTAGCAGGACAGGAGCACAATGACCACTGAGGTTTTTTGTTTTTTTTTTTACTCTTGGCTCTGTGAATTTCCTCTAAGCAGTGGAAAAAAGTAAGGGGGAGGAGGCAGCTTCCCCTTAAAAAGAGGAAGAACTCCAGTTTCATTATTGGGGAAGAACTTGGGTTTTAATACTGTAATAAGGAAAAGAATATGTCACCCAGTTCAGTTGCTCAACACGAACACATAAATAAATCCTACTAAGACCAGGTCTCCACATTTGGTTCTGTCAAAAGAAACATTCCAGAGGAGTCCTCTGCAATACACTTTTGATAATCAATATTCGGGTTGTAGAAATAAACTTATCTAAAAGACACGCTCCATTTATAAATTCATTTTCAAGGACATTCAGATTATCTCTTCCTCTCTCTTCCAGTGCTGAGAGTGAAGCCCAGCACATACCAACCAAGCACCCCAAGACAGAGCTACATGGACACCCTTGCATGTTTTTAAAAAAGAGTTAACAGAGCAATAGTGCACTCCCGTAGTCCCAACTCTCTCTGGGGCCTGAGGCAGGGGGGTCAGTTGAGCCCAAGTGCTTGAAGGCAGCCTGGGCAACATAGTGAGACCCTCTCTCAGAATAAATGGAGGAATTAATAAAATAAAATGAGTAAGAATTTTAAAATAAATAGGAAATAAAAAATAAAAGTTAGAAAATGGTTGGGAAGAAAATGGACCAACAAGGCTGGCAATGGGTGTGTGGGGGAAAGGTGGGTCATAGGGGAAAAGGGACCTCTTCTTGCAAAAGAGCTCTGGTGTCCTGTGTCCCCTCCTACATGCCTGTGTAGGGGTTGTGTCTAGAATCTCAAGTGCACCTACTCATGTTTTCAACAGCAACTCTCTCTTTTCTTCTTTGTGGAGCTGGGGCTGGAATCCAGAGCCTTGTGCGAGTCAGGCAAGGGCTTTATTCCTGGGCTCTGTCTCAGTCCACTATTCTGCTCACTATTTTTTAAAAATGTAGTTATTTTTTATGTAAATGTAATTTATGTTAACATAGAAGGCTCAATTGTTTAAAAATAAACATTTAAACATGTCTTCATTTTGATTTCTAATACGGCAACAGCTATAGGGAGAATCCACACCAAGGGCCGGGGATTTAGCTCAGTGGTTTTGCCACCTGCTGCGCAAGCCCAAGGACCCGAGTTCGATCCCTGGTACAAAAAAAAAAAAGATAAAGAGAATCCACACCAACACCACTCTTTGAGGGCCTTGATAATTATGCATGTCAAGGGTTTCTGAGACTAAAAGGTTTGAGATGCACTTTTCTAGCTCAAGATAAATGTGACCAGGAAGATTTGGCTTGGCAGAAATCGAGAAAGACTTTGGATAAGTTAAGGTTTTAAAAACATTTTTATTGGTGCATATTAGCTGGCAGGTTAAATTTTAATTCAGTTGTTAACTGGCCCTCAAATAAATCCATTCAGTAGCTTTTGATGTTCAAGGTGGAGCTATTTCTACTGCTGGAAGTCACTGGGTTATATACATGGCCAGTGTTCCAAAGCTGGGGGTTTGGGGCAATTGTCTAAGGAGGATCTATACAGAGAAGGGGCCCCAGAAATAGCTGGAAGCACTGCAGCTCTCAGAGGCCAGAGGGAAGCCAGCCATGTCCTGTTCACTTGACTCCTGCCCTTCCTGTGTATGTCTGCAATGCGGACAGCAGGTGGAGCACCCAGGAGCGCCGTGGCCTTGGAGAACTTTCAGGAGGTCCCATCTCACACACATCAAAGTGTTAACAATAATGTGTAAATAGGGAAGGGAGGAGGGGGTGAAGGGTACACAGGTAATGGGGAAAAAATAAGAACCAAGATACATCATGTACAGGTACAAACACCCAATGATAAATGTAAAGGAATTGTATACCTAAAATGTACCAATAAAAGAGCTTAGAAAGAAAAAAAAAGTGTTAACAATAAAAAAAGAACTTTGACAGCATCAGATATCCCAGCATATGAGAAAGAAGGATGCTCCCTAAACTACTGGAGGAATAGCACTCATTGATCCATTCTGGAAAGCAACTGCCAATATCTTTTAGGATCACAGATACAGACACCCAGATATGCTCACTAGAGAAACTCTTGCACACGCACACAAAGAGACCCTTACAAGAGTGTTTGCCATACCACTCCAAGCACAGAAGAGGACCGAATTTCAAGCACCTAAATGTCCATCAATAGGCAAATACGCAACTTGAGATATGTACTACTACACAGGAAGTAAAATTAACAAACTAGAGCTACCTATAGTAACATATATATAGGTATAAAAGTTCAAAAAGCTTTTTAATTTTCTTTTCAAAAAGCTTTTTTTTTGGTACCGGGGATCAAACTCGGGACCTTGTGCTTTCAAGGCAGGTGGTGGAACCACTGAGCTAAATCCTCGACTCTCAAAAAGCTTTTTTAAAAGCAAAAAAACATGGGTATGGTGGTGCATACATGTAGACCCAGCTTTTTGGGAGGCTGAGGTAGGAAGATCACTTGAACCCATGAATTTGAGCATAGCTTGGGAACAACATAGTGAGATCCCATCTCAAAACCAAAACGAAGCCATTATGGTGCCTGTAATCCCAGCACTCTGGGAGGCTGAGGCAGGAGGATCATAAGTTTGAGCCAAGCCTAGGTGACTTAGCAAGGCCCTGTCTCAAAATAAAAAAAATTTTAAAAAGGGTTGAGATGATCTTAGTGTGAAGGACCTGCATGCAGTCTGCAAACAGAACCAAGGTAAGGCAAAAACCATTACACTGAGCATATGAAGTTTAAGCCCCACGGGAAACTGCATTACACATTGTTTACAGACATAAAGGCTACCCCACCATGTATGGGGATTACAAGCCTAGTCCAGGACAATAGCTATGTCTGCATAGGAGAAATGAATGCAGATGTTCAAGGTTGAGTTGTTCAGCAACTTGTGAGGTGCCATTTCTTAGAATCAAACCACAAAATGACGTGATTTGGTAGAGCCGAGCAATGGATGTTTTAGTATTGTGTGTGATTTGGCAGGTATGCTCAATGCACATCTTAATAAACATTGGCAGGCAAATAAGGAAAAGTCAAGTGTGGGTGCATATGAAAATGGAAGGAGATAGAGGAATGCAAAAGATGAGAAAAAGAATCTGTATGTCTCTGCTACAGCCCACCTCGCTGGGGCTGGGTCCTCTCCACTTGGCTATAACCATGGTGGGGACAGGAGAGCCACATGGGCCTATCAGGAGCAGAGAGCCCTTTGGGATAGAAGCCATCCTGGCTCAGCAAGATCAGACAGCAAACTTACACCCTCCAGGAAGAGCTCACTGGGTCTCCACTCAGCTCTCCACCATCCAGTCACGCTACGCCCACCATATTGATTTGGACGAAAGATCCCCAAAGGCCAACACTCCCCAGTTCAGGCTGTCCACCCAGTCCAGCTTGGCTGCTCCCTCTGCACACACCATTAGCTGCATCAGAAACCTCCACGTTCACACTTGTTTCCTTGTCCCCACATAGCCAAACCCGAGAACCTCTGATGTGGCTGTCACTCAGTCAGCAGCCCTGGTTGGCAAATCAGTGTAACAGCACTGACTTGTGAAGAAGGAAGGCTCAGAGACCCCAAGAGATGAAGAGGACAGCCACAGAGGGCTGATCACAGAAGACCCCCTCCCTCAAGAGCAGGACATCTCTAGCTGACTTCAGCTTCCTCTTCCCCTCCATTCACTGCCTGCCCACCAGTCTGCCAACTCAGAAATGTCTACTTGCCAGGTGGGCCACAGTTAGTGTCCCAGGCTAGGCCTGCCATTCAGGGTGTCTAGGTACCCACGGGGCCCCCACTAGCCATGAAACAGCTCTTCCTCTCTGGGCCCAGACTCAGCTCCCACTGATTGGATGTTTGATAGATTTGTGTTTATTTGTTCTTAATTCCTCGGCTCTTCCTCCTGTCCCTTACACTAGGTACTTCCTAATTACATTCTTTGAGGACAGAGATAACTTGTCATCCACCAGCAAGGACCAGTTTTAACTGAAGCTTTCCCATGTTAAAGTCATCAGTAGCTACATCCTTTATCAAAATTGCTGCCAGGCCAGAGGTGCATGCCTATAATCCTAGCACTTGGGAGGCCAAGGAGGGTCATGAAATAGAGGCCACAAAGTGAGTTCTAGACCAGTCAGAACTACAGAGTGAGACCTGTCCCCAAAAATAATTTAAAAAGTTGGTGCTCCTGACTGAAATTTCTCCAAATACACTCCCATAGCCCCAGTCTCTGTCTAGAATCCCTCTGGGAAGGGGAGGAAACAAGGCTATCTAGGCAGCCCCAGGCCGGGAAGTGAGTGCTCTGCATATCTCTCTGGCTGCCTAGGAAGCGTGTGGCCCCCCAGGAAAGTGGCAACAGACAGACAGCTGTCATGTGGTGGAGTCTGTGGATGAGAAATGGTTCTTACCCTAAACAGCACAACTTCGTCTTTCTCAGAAACCAGTGAGTAAGGCCCGGACCCTATGTACAAGGACCACAGCACATGTCAACTGAGATGCACTGCAGGATGCGCAGCAGGACTCCTGAAACAGCCAGGCATGGTAGCACACGTCTGTCAGCCCAGAACCAGGGAGGCTGAGGCAGGAGGATCACTGTGAGTTCAAGGCCAGCCTGGGATACACAGTGAGAGCCTGTTTTAAGAAACCAAACCAACCAAAGCAACACAGATAAATCAAAGGGGTGGGGTGGGGGTCTGCAGGAGCTGGGAGTGGGGCTGGGGCAGCACACAGGAGAGCACAGGCGCCACACAGACAGAAGCAGGTGGGGAGAGAGGGCTGCTGTAAGGCTGCGTACTGAGCAA